AGTGCCCGTTTTGGTCAAGGCTCAGGGCCAATTTTCCTAGACAATCTGCGCTGCTCTGGCCATGAGTCCTACCTGTGGAGTTGCCCTCACAATGGCTGGAACTCGCACAACTGTGGCCACTCAGAGGATGCGGGTGTCATCTGCTCAGGTGAACCTCAAAAATACCCTGGTCCCCCGTTCATGGTGATTGTTACTGAGCGCAAATGCACTCCCTGCCCCAAAGTCCCCACCGGAGTCTCTGCCGGATATGCTGTGCCTCCCAAACTTCTCTGGGCACAACTGGCTCCCCAAGGGGTACAATGAGTGAAGAGCACTGGCAGGTCCCCTCCCTCCTGGAGTGATATTGCTTTGGAGCATGAATAGCACAGGGATGGGGAACAGACCATTCCCTCTTCAGTGGGTAGTCACAAGGAACCCCCTTTTTCTCAGCAGTATCATCTGCTGAGTCCACACTCCTCTTCCCTGGTCTTCCTTCTCAAAGCACACTTATTGGGAATGTGGCTGGAAAATGAACCACCTTCGCTCCTTCATGATTGCATTCTTCTGGGTCCTCCTTGCAGCCGATTCAGGGAACAGGATTTTAGCCCACATTGTGTATTTGGGAGGGTGGTGAAGAGCACTGGAAGAGGGACACTATGTAAGGAATGGCAGGTTGGTGGTGTGTGAAAGCTAATCAGCCAGATGTAAATGTGGAGCCTGAGCCGGGCCCACTGCAGAAAGCCTGAGAAACCTTGTAATGACTAACAGCATTGAAATTGTGTTGTTGTAATTAGTGTTTTTCTATATCAACTCCCTACCCTCATTCTTCCTGACCAATGTGGAGTGAATTCAATGACTTCTTTGGCCTGTCCCTCTCCTGATATTGGCATTCTTCCTCCTGAATCATCATCTCTCAAGTCCAGGAATGCAATCAATGGCAGTAGGACATATGGTTGGACTCTGAAAGGATGGAGAGATTCATGGTGCGCCCTGGCTTGTCTACCTAATACACATGGAAGAATGATCCTAGAAGTGATAGGCTGAGTTTCCTGAACCTTTGATATGGTTGGGACACCTGTGTTCTTAGTGATTGACTTGTGTTTCTTTTCATAGCTACTCCATCTCAGTCCACAATCCAGCCAGGTGAGTCCTCACCCACCCTATTTGGAATGTTTCTTATTTCCTGTGTCATCCTTCCCTGTTCCAACTAGTCTGGGCAAACCACTGCTCTTTGTATCAAACCTGTGGGTAGCTTTCTTCCCACCCCCCCTTTCCCAGAGGTCTCCAGGAAGCTGTTCTTAGCTAGACTTGGGACTCAAAGGACTCAAAGTGTTCCAACTTTCCATCAGTCCATGAGTTTCGAACTAGTCTGTCAAAAGTGTCCAAAAGATAACTGCAGTTAGGTACCCGACAACTGACCAAGTGTGACATGAATTTCAATTGGAATGCAATCTGGGATGACAATTTGAATTGGAGAATGGACGGTGATGAGCACTGACTTTGTATTGAAGGACAATCTGAATACGCTGGATCACTTCTCTTGCTCATTGCTTAATACAGCCTCAGATTCATCGGGGTCCAAAGTGTGTATCCAAAGTGGCAGGGACAGAGGCCAAGGGATCACAGTATAATAATTTATGCTGTGTTCCAGGAGCCAGGATACTTGATTGGTTCCAGGTGGGCCTACCGTGCCTCTGACTCTTTCTGTCCAAGCTTCAGAGTGTGGTAGACCCTTTCAGACATGTATGTCTTGAATAGGGATGTGGCAAAGTTTTCTAAGGTAGAATGGACATGCCAGGCTCAGAGATGGCTGTGGAGGATCCAGGTTGCCCTCCTGCAGGGACTTCATCCCAAGGGAAGTTACTGAGCACACGCTTGGGTAGCACACACAGATGGAAGATGGCAAAAAGCAGATGTGCAATTGCCACGATGCCCGCCAAAAACTCTTTTCAAAGACTGTTTTCCATGACGTCTAACTCTGTCCTTTGCCTCTGTTGCCTCTTCCAGGCACCTGGCCCACCTCATCCATACCCGTAGGAATAACAATCAGTAAATATTCCCATTCATCTTCCTGGCTCATTTTCTCCTTCGGCGTAAAGTTTGGGATTGGAAGTGACAGGAGGAATCTCAGGGTGTTCCTTTACTTATCTTTGTCCCTTGTGTGTGTGTGTGTGTGTGTGCGTGTGTGAGTGTGTGAGTGTGTGGTGTGTGTGTGTGTGTGTGTGTGTACAGTTAGGGGATAGAGAGAGAACTCTGAATATCAGATCCTGGGTCTGATCTTAGAGGCTGGCCTGCCCACTCCACTGGGATCCTGGCCTTATGTTCAGGAAAGGTCCTCACCCAGGTGCTCAGTGTAAGCCCTGGAGGCCTCTCAAGGGCTGGGACCATGCTTCTCCTATGGCTCCCAGACCCATGGGGTCGAGCCCTGAGAAGAGGATGGACATGTGGAGTCCTGTACCTTGCACGCAGGGGTGCACCATGTCCTGGGATTTTGGCAGAACCAAGTCAGGATGCCACAGAAGCCAATAGTTGCAAATGAAGGCAAGGGTCTTGGCAATCTCCAATAGATTTAGAGCTACATACTGGATGTGCCCAGTGTGGATTAGGCCTGTCCACCAAGTCATCTCCATCCAGGTCATGGAGTGCTTCCTTCCATGGGAGCCTCCTTAGCCTTGCGTCGATTGGGATGACTCGCCCCTTTACCTGTGGTGAAGATTAACATCTGAGCACGCTGAAAGGTCATCACCTGACCAGGGAACTTAGGCCGGGGAAAAAGCCACTGGGTCTTCCCAATGTTTTAAGCTTATTGGCTTAAGAATCAGATGGAGGAGGATTGCTGTTCTTTATCCCTCAGGGACTGAGTCAGCTTTGGCCCTGAGGCTGGTGAGCGGAGGGGACCGGTGTCAGGGCCGCGTGGAGGTCCTGTACCGAGGCTCCTGGGGCACCGTGTGTGACGACGACTGGGACACCAATGACGCCAACGTGGTGTGCAGGCAGCTGGGCTGTGGCTGGGCCACTTCGGCCCCTGGCAGTGCCCGTTTTGGTCAAGGCTCAGGGCCAATTGTCCTAGACAACCTACGCTGCTCTGGCCATGAGTCGTACCTGTGGAGCTGCCCTCACAATGGCTGGAACTCGCACAACTGTGGCCACTCAGAAGATGCTGGTGTCATCTGCTCAGGTGGGGATGAAATATACCCATCTCTCTCTCTGAGATGGTCTTTGAGGGGAAGAAACACACTATCCACAAAAGGCCCACATCCAACACTCTCTGAGATATTCCGTGCCTCCCAAGCTTTCTAGAGGCAGCAGGCAACTGAAGTAGAATGGAAAACAAAGTGTAGGGTCAGCGGTCCTCACCTGTTTGGCCATCAACAGAGAAGGGCCAACATTACTTTGCAGCAACATGGCACAGTGGGTGAAAGGACCATCCGCAGTTCAGTGGGCAGAAAAAAATGGGCCTCTTCCTTCCTACAGGATCATCTGCTCAGTCTACACCCCATTTCCCAGAGCCTTACATATCAAGGCGCAGCTTTTGGGAGTATGGTTGGAAAATGAACCACCTTCACGCCTTCAAGGTTATATTCTTCCAAGTCCTCCATGAAGCCGATTCGGAGAACAGGATTGCAGTGTACATTGTGAATTGGGGAGGACAGTGAAGAGCAGTTGGGAAGTGGGGAAGGTACAGGGAATGGCAACTCACTACTACATGGAATGCTAAACACATAGGAAGATGGCAATCGAATTGACTCCCTACATAAATGGAGAAAAACCATGTAAAGATTGGGAGCATTGCACCTGGGCTGGTGGCAATGGAGTCTATCTAGACCAACTGCCTGGGTTCATTCTTGCTGTTCATATGCAGAGCGAATGCAATGGCTTTGGTGGTCCTTCCTGGGCCTGGCAGGGACATTCCACCTCCTGGAATGTCAGTCCTCAGGCCCAACAAGGCAGACAATGGCAGCAGGACAAAGGGTGGGGCTCCCAGAGGACTGAGCGTTCAGGGTGGGCCCTGGCTCCTTCCACCCGAGGGCATGTGGAAGCATGATCTCAGGAGGTATAGGCTGTGTTTCTTGAACCTTTGGCCCATTTGGGTCACCTGTGTGCTGTGTGACTGACTCGTGTTTCTTTCTCACAGCTGCTCTGTCTCAGTCCACGATCCAGCCAGGTGAGTCCTCGGCCAGCCTACTCAGGCTTTTCTCTCTGCTCACCCACCCCTCTTCCCCCTAGGCTGGTCAAACCACTGCTCTCTATCGAACCTGGGAGCACCTAAATTTTCCCCACTGTCACTGAGATCCTGGAAGGTGGCTCTTAATGAGACATGGGATTCACAAGAGTCTCATCTTCCCGTCAATCCATGAGGTTTCATCCAGTACGTGGAAACTGTCCCAAGAGGTGGCTGGCTGCCGTTTCAGAGAACTGGCCGTTTGTGCCATGAATCTCAGCTGCAATACAATCCGGGCTAATAAGTTGAGTGGGAGAATGGACGCTGATGACCACCGACTTCCTATTGAAGAGCCACCAGGGCAGGCTGGTTCCTATTCCTTACTCAGTGCTTGCAAAGGCCTCCGATTCCATGGAGTCATATCTGCCTCCAAGGGGGCCTGGACAGCATTTCCTGGGGATGAGATGCAATGGGTGATGGAGGTGCTCTAGGTACTGGGATACCCAGTTGGCTCCTCCTTGACCCTCAATGCCACTGACTCTTTATCTGAGGCTTCATACATGGCAAACCCCTCAGATCTACGTGAGTCAAGATAGACAGGTGGCAAAGGTTTTCTAAGGGACGAAAGAACATGCCAGGCTTAGAGATGTAAAGGCACCTGGCTGACCTCACAAGGCCTTTGTCCCAGAAATGCTAGGGGAGGAGTGGACTTTGCACAGCACACCCAGGTGGAAGGTAGCAGGATGCAGACGGACAACTGTCACGATGCCTGCCAAAAACAGGTTTCAAAAAATGCTTTCCTTGAAGTCTAACTCTGTTTTTTGTTTTGTTTTTTTTACCTTTGTTGCCATATCAGACACTGCCTGGATCACCAGCTCCACAGCTTCAATGACAGAATTAGGTGAGTATTTCATTCTTTTCTCCTAGGATCATTCTCAGCTTCTAGATAACGTTTGGGTTTGGAAGGGCCAGGAGCCGTCTCAGGGTGTATCTTTCCTTATCCTTGTCCCTGTG